TGGATACAGAACCTTTTTTTCAAATGAAATTAATCTCTTTTTTACCTAGAGTTACACCAGATAAGTGCCATCCTGGGACTTAAAATATCTAGTGGCTGCTGCTTACTGTGCACCATTACTCTTCTGTTCAGTCTCCCCACAGAACAGCTTGTAATAGCTGCCTCAGTGGTTGGATGGGCTTGGATCTTGAACTTCTAATGCTCTGGCCATGCCTTTCTGACTGGAGCTGGAACACACTGCTAAGCCAAGTGGGGAAGTGCTGTCAGGGTTTAGGACAGCATGGTCAGTCTCAACCGCAGTGTTTACCTGTCTGAAGGAGTGGGTGAGGTTCCTTCTTGCACCCAGTAGGCGTAAACACAGAAATGCTTTTTCCACAAGTGCTGTCTTTAGAAATGGGTAATTTGGGATGTGAGTGTGAATCAGCAGAGCTGTGTGTGGAAGTTTCACCTGGTCAGTGACCTCCTGCCTTTCTTACTTGACTTTATTCTTGGAAATGTGTTACAGATGTGCTTTAGGTTGCCTGGGGTTTTTGTTCAGCTTTGACCTTTCCAGAGTCAAAGAATGTGAGCTGAAGATATCACAAGGTCTCTGACATCAAAGTAATGTGACCAAACAAACTGCTTAGTTTCCCATTATAAATGTCCTCAGGGTCTTGGTTAGTGGAAGCTGCCCTCTGCTAAATCAGAGCAAAAAAGTTACACAGAATTCAGGCAGTGAACATGGCAAGAAAATAATGTTTTGTCAGGTGTGAGGTGTCTTGAATGTGACTTGTCCAACACTGCTGGACACAGCCCAGCTGCTTCCCTGAGCACTGTGAAGTGGCCAGAAGGACTTTTGTGGCTGTTTTCTATGGCACATGGTCTCTTCACTATGCTTTCCTTCCTGTAAAAATACAGTCCTGATACAAAAGTATGTCTTGTTAATGTGCCAAAATTCAATGCATCAAGAAAATGGTATAATTTTCTTCATCATGTGTATTCTCCAAAATTTCTCATCCCTGTTTCAGTGCTCCAAAAGGACAAACTTGCTCCAAAATATTTCAGGTTTTATGCTCAGTCATTTATTTTAGGCTGATGATACTAAAATACTGAAACTAGGAAAAGGCTGCCCAGCTCTCTTACTAAATTTGCTAAATAGCTTTCTTAAAATGAAGATAGATCATTTGAAAGGAGGGTCAGTGCACAGAGAATTAGTGACAAAAATATGACCTCCTTATTTCATTAAGATTTTGGATCTGTTTTCCTTCTGCTTGCTTATAGTCCTTCAAACAAAGGGACATGCTTGCCTTATTCTCTAAGCTTCAGTGCAAAACAAATAATCAGGCAATGTATCACCTTCTAACAAAACATGTTAGTGTGGATGTTTGCTGTTTCAGCCCTGGGAATGTAACTGGTGTTTAAATGATCTTTTATGTTCCCTGGTAAGGCTTGTTTGAGAAGATTAGATGGATTTGTACATCCATACAGCAAAAATTTAAGTCAGAAAGTCTGACCAGTATCTTGGGGAGGGCGGGATCCACTGAGAAAAGCTGTATTTAAGAAGCGTGAAAAAAAAAAATGTTATAGACTTGCTTAGTCCAAAAAATTATCTTGTCTAAACACTTTGAAGTCCAGTTAATTGTTTTTTTTCCCCTTGAAACACAAGTTTGTTTTTTGCATGCTTCTTGGGAAAATGCAGTTAGGAAAAGAGATGGAAGGTAAGCTGCTGTCTGCTTGCTATTAGTGTCATCTGGATTTAAATGTACTACTTTTGCTTTGCTGCTTTAACTTTGAGTTGTTATGTTGCGGGCATTCAAAACAAGTGCTTTGTGATTTTCCAGCAGTGCCTGAATGCATCTGGGGGTGTGCCAGTGGGGACAGCGTCCTGAGTATTTATGTTGACTTTTGGCATGTAATCCTTTCCCCTCTTTTTAGAAAACCAATGAGAATTGCAGCGCTTCGTCAGCTAGCTCAGCAAGCCAACCCCAAAATCCGACAGATTCTGAGCAGTCCAGAAATTGTTCGGCACCAACACCTACAGCACCATCAGATTCCCAAGCAGATGGCAACCGTGTGGTGTCGGATCATGATGCTCAGCCTGCTGCTGCAGGGCCCTGAGATGCGCTCATCTTACCAAATCCAGTGCATGGAATTCTGCTTCTCACCTGGGAAACGCTGGAGTAGGAGCTCAAAAGTAGGACTTCCTTCATCTTAACAATCATAATGTGATGCAGTGCAAGCTTTTAACTATATAAAAAATATTCATATGACTACACAGAGCAACATGAGCAGGGAAGCCAAAAGTTTGGATTCTTGAGGGAAGTGATATGGCCAGATATAATGGTAGGAAGAATTCTCAGCTGCTTTGCTAAAGCTGAGTCAAGTGCTACGAAATTTTTTTGCCATCTGTGGAAGAAAGGGAGTTTACTCCTCATTTGTTGAGGCACACTGTGTCTGACTTGATTGGATAATTTCTTTTTCTTTAAATTTATTCCCAAATAAAATACTTTTTAAGAGAGACACTGAGTTTCCCTGAATAGTCTATTAGAAAATACCAGATCTAATAATAAATAATTCTAGGAATGTCATGAAACTGTCTCTGGAAAGATTTCACAGAAACAGAGTGGCTTAAGGAAGTGTATCTTGATATTGTAGTGATGGATTAAGTAAACCACATGCATATTCAAAGAATATGTTTTTGAAGCTAATGTGTTGTTTGAGAAAATAGTTTAGTTCTGCAAAGCAAAGGTTTTGAACTGGAGTTTTAGTGCAACACAAAAGCTGGAGGAAGGCTTCTGAAGAAGTTACCCTCTGTGCTTGCAGCCCTGCAGTTGGGCATAAGGTTAGGTGCATTTGGGTAATTTTAGGTTTGATGTTGTATTGAGACAAGAATCTTTGATCAAGATTGCACAGCCCGAGATTGATCAATGGTTATTTTGGATTTTTTATTTCATCATCTATACAAAGGTTTATTTAATGCAGTGTAGTTATTATGGTTATTTATTAAGAAAATGGTAAGCTTTAAGTGCCTAGGGAAGGTGGGGGGGGGCGGGTAGGGAGGAATCACCTAAAAATCTTAATGTTTAGCATTATAGGGGCAGAGTAGTGGATGCAGAAATCAAGTAGAGCGAGAGATTCTCAGGAGGAAGCAAATGTAACTCAGTTGCAGTACGTTTGGGAAGTTACTTTGCCCAATGTCAAGACACTGGAGGACTTTGAATTATGTTTTGTTACGCTTCTTAATACTGTCTGCAGCCAGCTCGTGCTGGTGCATAGTGAAAATTGCTGCTGGAGGGAAATCCTCGGGCTCAGGGAAGAGTCGGGGGGGTTTAGTCAGGATAGTGTTTTGGCCCATTTTCTTAGATGAACAGCTTATTCCCGGGAGATCCTGAGCACTCTGCTCCCATGGGACTGAGGGAGCACTGCTCAGCTCCCTCCTGCAAGTGAGATGTGTGTGAGGTGCGAGGTCTTCTGTGGGGAAGGTGCTGCTGTGGGACTGTGCTGAGCCTACAGGAGCCCAGAGTCAGGGAGAGGAAGGTTGCAGCAGCTGAGCAGGGAAGGGGGTGCACAGGTTTACCCACTTTGACATCTGTTAGCTTGACTGAAGGGGTGTCCCGTAGCTGTGCTTTAGCTGTGCTTTTAGAACAACCCACATTCTGGCAGTGCCTGGGACCAACACCATAGACAAGAGACATCAATGACTAGCCACTAGTTCCTTTTTTTGCACTTGAACTTAAATGTACTGTACTCACATAAATCCTCATGACTTGTCTAAGTGTCCTTTAAAATCAGAAATGTATTTATTGTATGTTTGTATAACTTGGGGGAGAACTAAAGACTGAACAGGTGACAGGACAGAAGGATGCTAAAAATCATCTTGAGGCTAACCAACCATTTGTTGAGTTCATGCTGTATGGTGTTACCTCAGCTGCTACTGCATAGCACCTGGATTGTGAAGTGAAGAGCTTGTACACTGTGTTTACACTTCAGAATTGTGTATTTGAAATGCCTGCTCTTTTTGGAATTGTATAGTCATTCTATGTTGCAAAATGGAAATGTACACCTGGATTTTGATATTTGTGAAACTGTAAAAACTGTGGTAAGAAATATAAAATATCCATAACATATTTAATAGTATCAACATGAACTTTTATTTTATTTGTTCATATTAGTGTCAGCAGTGAACATAACCACCTGAAGTGAAAAAAATTCAGTGATAATGACCTTTTACTAAAGTCACTGGAGGATGCTGAACCAAGAGCCTGGGAACTACTCCTGCACTGTGTTAAAACAGTATTTGATAATAAAATCTGACTGTAGGCACCGATTCCCTTCTGTGGGGTGCAGGGAATGTAAAGGACACAAACCAATGTGTTGTAAACTGGTCGATATGGAGGAGTGCATGGCATCACTGTGAGCCCCACAGAGAACAGAGATAAATATAACATCCTTTGTTAAGGGAGAAAGGCTTTTGTAAGAGTTAGGGCAATGGGCTAATGCCTAGATTCTGTTCCTAGATTTTCTAGCTGAACAGTGGACAGTACTTAACAATTGTGTTTCAGTAAGGCTGTGTGTCATCTCCACATGTCACAGGAGCACTGTGCAAGTAAACAGGGCTCCAGTGACAGCAGCTGATTTTGGTAGGGTTTGTTTATGAAACTCTTCTAGTGTTGGAATAGGCTTGGGAGGATTTTTGAAGTCAGTATTAGCTACCCACTAAGATAGCCATTATCTTTCTCCTGTTGCTGTTGTTCTATTTTGCATGCATTTAGTAGTTTCCTGCTCTACTTTGGATAGTATTTACCCATCCCTGCCAAATGATGGATCTCACAACTATATACAGCGTGGGATGGTTTTTGTTTAATTTTTACTGGTTTTTAACTTTTTTCCTTGTTGAAGTATTCTTCAACAAAGTATTCTTCAAGGTATGTTGAGGTATTCTTCTAAAACATGTAATTACCTAATGGGGGGGGGGGGGGGGGGGGGGT